GAAGGCAAGCGGGGTTTCGGTAGTGTAAGGGATAAGAGCACGGTCCCCGGAAAGGACAAGTACGGGTTCGAGTCCCGTCCGAGGCTGGAGTTTTGCCCACAAATCGCCAACCTTGTGAAAAACGACCCTTTCTAGGATCGTATAGTGACTTGTGACGAGAAGTGGATTCTATACGACAATCGGCGACGTTCTGGGCAGTGGTTGGACAAGGGTCAGGCTCCGCAACATTTTCCGAAGTTGAAACAGCAGTCAATGAAGGTAATGGTGGTAGTTTGGTGGTCAGCGGCTGGTTTAATCCATCACAGCTTTTTGGATCGGGGCGAAACCATCACAGCTGAAAGATATTGCCACGATATCGACGAAATGCACCGGAAGCTGCAGCTCATGAGCCCTGGATTGGTGAACAGGAATGGGCCGATCCTTCTCCACGACAACGCGCTCCCCCATGTCGCACAGACCTTCCTGAAGAAGCTGAGCGAGCTGGGTTACGAAACTCTGCTACATCCTGCGTACTCACCCGACCTCGCTCCAACCGACTACAACTTTTCCAAGCACCTCGACAAAATCCTCCGAGAATAACGCTTCAACACCCGAGACGATGTCGAATCGACCTTCCTCGGATTCAACGCTTCTAGGTCTCCAGAGTTCTATGCAACCGGGATAGGCAAACTTGTTACTCGTTGGCAAAAGTGTGTAGACAACAATGGTTCTTATTTCGATTAATAATGTTTTGTTTGAGCCGAGATATGTGCATTGAAAGTTGAGCGTTGAAAAACGACAGAAATTTCTGAAACACCTAATATTATTCTCCTGTAGCTGTACATATTCGATAAATGACGTCGAGTATTATTGTGTCGACTGTACATCTAAAGAGGGTGAAAACCCCAACTTATTGCTCTTGCAACAGTCATGGTGATCGAAGAACGTGATCGTGGATTACCTGCAGGTGCAGATGATATTACTAAATAATCCGAACTAGTTTGTTTTGCGTGTTGTGTAACTCTCTGAATTCAGCTTTTTACTGTCGGCAGAGATGACATCAAACGAGTTGGAAGTCTTTTTCGAAAAAATTAAGCGGGCACTTCCCAACTTCGCACCAAGAGCACTGGTCTCAGACGAGGCCATGGCGTTTTACAACGGGTTCAAGTTGTCGTTCCCAAATCACAACACAGACCACCTATGCAGATTTCACATTCTTCAGCTTTGGAAAAGAAAAGCTAAGGAATGCGAAAGGCAAACTACAAGGTACGGAAAGAGTCGTAGCTATTCATTTCGAGATTTCAGCCGGAGCACCTAATAGGAATCATCAGAGCCCTGAGGTAGCTACCTAGGATCGGTGACGAAGCACAATTCCACTCACGGCTGGGTGAACTACTGACGCACCTCCGTGTCAAAATTGTTTTCCTATTATTCAATATCTGTAGAGGGAATATCTCGGTGAAACCGATCCCAGATCTTTTCGATTGCATTCTACTACTGTCGCGATAATTTTAAGATCCGGATAAAATACAACGCTGGGCAGGATTCAATCGAAAGGGAGTTGTGATGAGCACTTTGGTATTCACGGGAAGGTGGCACCTTTGAATTAAACAAGGAAAACCGAGAAGAAAAGCCACTCTAGAATCGATTACGTCGTAGATACTTTGATCAAGGCCGTTCAAGAGCTAGCTGAAATTTCGAAGTTAAAGTGGGGACGTGACTCAGGGATGTACAACTGAGGGATATTTCTTTTTTACAGGAATGGAGGCAATACTGCTCATCGTTCCGTGTTAAAGAGAGTAATATCCAACATAGATTCGCTTTTACAAGGGAGCTCCGGATAAGATCCACAAACTTGGTAATTCCACATGGAATATTGATGCCATTCAATGTATCGCGTCGAGATCGACGAGAATTGTACATGCCCTCAGGTTGGTTGTCACTTTATCAAACTGAAAGCATTCATGTAACCTAATCCTAATCAATTTCGAGGTCAATACACATTGCTCGTGACGTCAACTGTGCCCTTATACTGTTTCGTCTACCTGTAGAAGTGGAGCACTAGCGGGAGTGACAGTCATGCATACACATGCAATAAAGCTTTACGGTATGTGGATTGCACTTCTGTTCGCTGTCAAAACCCTCTGCTTTGAGGTGAGGACCTTATTATCGAGGTATCTTTGAGTATCGAACAACCTGGTTAACCTCCAGTCGTTAATCTGCAAGACATTGAAGTATATTCGAGGCCTTTTCGTGATACTCGGAGAGAACCGCACACATTTCGTGACGAAATTTCGAAGGTTAGTTGAACCCAACTACGTCTAATTGTTCAAGTATTATATTTATGGTACTCCATGTATTCTAGAGCTACACTGCAATTTTTGAAAAGGTTAATGCCCTGGCCACGTGAGAAGATGACGGCGCCATCACAATTCTCACTCCAGTCGCAGAGGATGCGCTGTATTGCCGATGTTGGCTTTGGTACACCTCTAGGAACAAATTTTATATTATCTAGACCTGATGTGAGCGGGCAAACCAAAAATGCACGATCTTTATATGGCGAGATTTGCATCTCCTTTCCTAACGGTATTAATGCTTTACATTATTAATAGATAGGATTATTATTACTGCTTTTTCTGCTATTAGTAAGAGGGCCAAAATCCTGAGAGGAATGCCGGAAAGCAAAACTCAAACACTGGAGGAAATACTCGTCGATCCTGACGATATTTTATTTGGTTCTATTTGTTTCCAAGGAGGCCCTGCCCTTCCTCCCGACATGGATTCAGAAAGCCGAACACCAGAGAAACTCAATGGATGAGATGCACAGAATCTCGCATTTGGGCCCATGAAATATGTGCTAGCGGTGCCCAGTCCCGAAGCTGCAGAGCTTCTAAGAGGGAAAGCACAGTATTTACGTATACAGATAATTACCTTGGTTTGTCATGATACAATGGATTTAAAAGACTATGGTAAAGTATGTTCTCATTATTTCGAAGGTACTGAAATTGTAAAAGTCATTGTAATGCTGATGTTGTACCACTGATTACCTTAATTGTGATTACTGAGTTCTAGAGAAAGCCAAAGTTTTATCAGGAGCAAACGATTACTGAAAGCACATGAAAATGTATGAAACTATTGTTACCATTCTATGAGCAAAAGCGATACTAATAAAAAATAGCAGTCATAGTTTTTACAAGTTGTACGAATGATGAAGATGGCGTAGATGAAATGACAGCGAGTTGAGCGTAACAAAAGAAAAGGGCAAAGCGAGCTGAGCGTAAAATAGGGACGAAAAATTTTGCTTCACATATTAGAGTGGGGTTCCGGGCAGCTAACTGAGAAAAAAGTCCAGAATTCCTAATGCTCGGTAGGAGTAGTGGGTCATGCTCCAACAACAAGCACAGCAAGAACTAAGTTTTGGTCGTTCCTATTGTCACTTTATGGGGATTATGTGCTATCGACGCAAAGTGCGCAAAGTATCTATACCAAGTCGAAAAGGTACTAAGCGGCATGTTTGGCCTCAGTCAAGGAAGCGGAAAGGTCAGTTTTGGCTATAGAACTTCTCCCCGACTGATTAGATTGATTAGACCACTGCAATATGTAACGACCATTTGTTCGTTCCAGTAGCTTAAATATCATCTAATCAATCTCCTATGTGCAGTTCTTGCATGCTGCGGCTACATATAAGTACTCTAAAGTACTGTCATAGTGCTTAAAAACAATTGGCTCAATAATGGCTAAACGTGTACAACTATCTCTTCTGCTAATTGCCTTTACAGCAAACACATAACACACAAGAGTAGTTTAGTACGCACTGCTGCGAGGTTATACAATTTCCCTGAGCTTATGCCCTACTGGTAATGCACCGAATACCACTAAACTAAACGTAAAGCAAAAAATGTTCATTGAATGACACGTCGCCGTCACGTTTCCTTGAGTCACTTACTAATAGTAAAGGGTCGATGGCGTGGGTTCGGCAACGAGCTAAATCCAAACAGTGGGCAGTTTACCAAAAAACTCGTCCTGCATTTTTTCAGGGTGTAGGTTTAGGCGACAGTCGAAAGAACATTCTCAATTCACCAAAAGGAGTGTGAAAGATTTGAAGTACATTATGCCACACGTAAATACTTGGTGCTGCACGTTCTTCAAAAACCGCATGAGTTTGCGACCATTCTGTTAGTTCGCTCCAATCCTTACAACAATAAAACCATGGGTCGCTCCTATGTGAACCAACCTTCCCTGTATACGAGTCGCGTGCGCACTTTTTGATTGGGCGTTGTGAACGGATGAACGAATACACGACTTCAACATTTCATTTCCATTCCTCATCGAAACAGCTATGAAATGCACAAGAGGGTTATAGGTTTCCAGGTGAAAATGTGGTTGAGAAGAGAGGGGGAGGTACTATGCTGTGCTCTGCGTCTCTGAGGCGCAGGCTTTCCGAGCTTGAGATGGCTAAATTTTC